TATATATATTAGTAAGGTAGTATCATGATGATACGGTGTGCATCTCGATTTAAAGTAAATGACAATCGTGTTTCATTTTTATCTCTTTTTTTTTATTTATCAGATGCTAACATTGCATCAAATGACGAGAATATGCCCAAAAAAGTGTTTATCAATAAATCATATTGATATTTACAAAAAATACTTAAATACATGTTTTTGATTTTAAACATGCAAATAGTTTTTTATAAAATGGGAATCAGCTCATATAAAATACTTTTCTACAAAAAAAATTATTTATATAGCTCTCTTAGAAAAGAAAGAAAAAACAACATTTGTACAATAGTTAAAAAAGTAAGTTTGCAATAGGCATGTAAGTTTAAATGATGCTTTTGACCCAAGCCTCTTCGGCTTAGTTTATTACAAGTTTAAGTTTCCCTTCATTCACCAATTCATCCAGATAATCCAGGTTCTTGGCTTTCAGTCAAAAGAATCGAACTTTCAAGCAGATAAGTTTCTTCACAAAGAATCCAGGTTCAGTATTTTTTTCTCACACTTTTTCAAAAGTCAGGGCCTGAGCCCGACCCTAACGGGCCTGAGCCCACTCAATAGTGGGATATATTGGGATAGTTTGGTTTAATTTGGTGACTCCGTGACCATATGACTCAATTGCAACCTTAAACAAATACCACCTTTTTAATTCAAAATTAAAATAGGAAAAAAAAAATTAATGATGTTTATGGTGACTTGTACCTATAGAGAAATAATTTGAGCATTTCTTTAGATTTGCCAAGTTATGTTCGGGTCTTTTATAATATATAACCGTTTAAGACCTCTTATAATATAGTATAGATTTGTACACATTTATGATATTTTATAATATTATAAAAATCCAAAAATATTCAATATTGAACTTATTTTGAAGGTGTTGATGAAAGAATTATAACAATATAATGTACAATAAAAAAAGAAACACAATCTTTAATGTATTTTAGTTAACATGTTTATATATTTTTAATATGAGAAAGGTGTAATAACATAATTAAAGTCCAAATGTAAAGGATATAAAAAATTAATTTTTATATATATTCATGATATTTAATAGAATGATTAAATCCACAATATTGAGCTTATTTTGAAGATGTTGACGAGACCATTATAATGGTATAATTTATAAAAAAAACGTATTTTTAATGCATTTTTGTTCATATACGATTATTTATGTTAATATGATTAGGGTGTAGAATGAAAAATAAAAAGCAAGGGATATGAAGTAGATTAAATAACTAATTATAAAGGTATAAAATATAATTTAGAGATTAAAAATGATTTTATTTTTAATATATAGAAGACGTGGGAGGATGTGTAACTTTACAAGTTTGTACAATTAGCATAACAAATTGTACCTATTAAAAATTTCAAAATAACTTAAACTCCTCTTTTATGTGTGTGTGTGTGTATGTGTGTGCACGCACACATGTGTTTAATCATTTGAGAAATTAGAAAATTGTGAAATCAATGAAGAACTTCTAGTTTAAGGTTTTGTCCACATGATTTATTTTCCATTGAAATATAGTATTTAATCTATTAATTAACATATATTTGTTTCATGATGTGTTTGTTTCACATGTATTTGGTTCACAATATTAAACTTTTTACGTGTATTTTTTGTTTCACAAACACGTAAAAGATGTTCAAATTGCAAACCGAGTAGATGTCAAATAAACACATTGTGAAACAAATATATGCTAACCAATATTCTAAATTCTAGTCTTATATAAATAAATAAATAAATATATGAAATAACGTATAATGCACAAATTCTCAAGGTTATCATCTAATGTCCCTCACACACAAATTAAACAAATCAACACTAATAATTTTAAAATTTTAATTACACTATGTACTCTTATAACCAGTTATTTAAGTTACATTATCCCTCACTTTAAATTTTTCATTTTACATTTTTATCATATTAACATACATAATCGTATTTCAACTAAAATTCGTTAAAAATATATTTTTTTAACAAATTACACTTTTATAATTGTTTCTTCAATACCTTCAAACTTAGACTATTATTGAATATTTTTGGATTTAATAATATTATTATATATAATAAATACTATAAAATTATTTGTAATCCTTACACTTTATACTCTTATAGTTATTTATTCAATTTATTTTATAGTCCTTACATTTTCATTTTACACATTTATCTTGTAAGATCCCACGTATATTAAGTAGGGGAACAAATTATTGTCTTCTAAGAGATTGGATAGTTCATCTATCATAATATAAAATAAAAGTTGCATGGGGGTGTTACATATTTTAGACACATATATAATGATATAGTGAATAAAATACATTCAAAATAGGATAGGGTCTGATTATGAACCGATTGCGACCAGGATCGGTAGAAACCGTTTATGACCGACTGTCTGGGATTGGTTATATTTTTTTACGAAAACTCAAGGCCTTGACGGCCTGGTTTGAGATCTGGTATGGGACCGGTACTGATTATACATAGGCCCAATTTTTTTAAAGATTAAGTTTTTATAAATTACATATCAAGTTTTTTAGAAGAATTTCAAGTTTTTAACAAAAACTTTTAAGTTTTTCAAAAAAAATTCAAAGTAATACTAACATTTTGGGACATGTATAACATTTTTCTAGAAAAGAAGGTTTTAAAAAATATTTAAAATGTATTTAATTTGAATGACCCAATAAGAGATTTTAAAGTATATTTCAATAAAATATTGTCTAAAAAAAGAAAATCTTCAAACAATCAATTTTATATGTACAAAATTGATTTTTGGAAAAGAACAAATTTGGGACTGATTTAGGCCCGGCCAGGACCGCGACTAGTTCTAGGGGCCGGGCTTTGTACATGGAGAATGAATCGGGTGTTTTGTTGAGATCAGGTATAAAAGGAAAATCTTGAATCGGGACCTTATTTGGCAGATTGCTATCAGATTCGTGAGCTTTCACCTTCTTGTGTGAGCTTCATTGGGATATAGAGTTGGTTTAATGGATTCCTTATTGAGGTATGATTATTTCTTCCTTGACTAATGTGAATCTCACCATTTCTTTTAGGGCTTTATGGTGAAGGAAACGATGGATTTTATAGTGAAAAACTATTTTAGGTTTGAATCTAGTTATGATTTAATCAGTAAAATTGGTTTATCTTGATGATTCATGGAGTTTTTGTTAAATATCTCTGAATGTGTGATTTTGAAGGTTGAAAACTTGATTATTAATTTTTGGGTTCATCATAGATCGATCGGGCGGTGTTTGATTGTTTATATGTGTTTTGGAACCTTTGGGAAGGTTCAAATGAGTGGGTGCAATGTTGATTATGGGTCAAATGATTTTAATGAATTTAGGGATTTTTTATTTTAAAAAAAAAAATCTTTCGAATTCGGAATTCCATTAGGTTTTTCTAAAGTTTTATTTTTTAAACCTAGTTTTTTAGACTTTTTTTGTTTTAATTTATTTCTCAAAATGTGTCTTATTTTCGCTTTTAAGTTATTTCTTTTTATAGTATTATGAACTCGTATATAGATGATATATCAATATTCGAATTATATATAATTTAATTCTTTTTAAAGATTAATTAAATAATAATAATAAATAAAAAGCTATTCAAACGAAATAAAGATGGAATAAAAAATACAAGTGTAATCATATATCTTTGACATCATATGAAAAGCTTTGAAATTATTGGGAGAACCGTCGCTTGTTTTAATAACATTCGTGGGGAAAAAGCCACATGAAGTTTGGCATTATCTAAAATTAAAAAAAAAAAAAAAAAAAACCTATCACAACTTCTTTTTCATACTATTAAATATTTAAAATTTGGAAAAAAAAAAAAAAAAAACGAGTATTTGCTTCTATTTAATTTAACCAAGTATTGATTATTGTGTAGATTGTGACCACATGCACAGTCACATATCGATTATGTATGATGTACATTGTTATAATAAATATACATTAATATTTTATTAAAAATACGTACATAAAATATTAATTATGGATGTTTATTTTTTATTTTTTTATTTTTTATTTTGCTAATTTTTAAATATTTTAGTTTTAAAAATAAAAATAATGAGATAACTAAATTTTTGTTTTCAAAATGATATTATTTTTAAATATTGTCCAAAGTCTATTTAAGGTGTGTTTGACACACAGGATATAACAGAAAGGAACATGATTTCACGTTTGAGAAGACTCTTCTATCTATCTATCTATCTATCTATCTATCTATCTATCTATCTATATATATATATATATATATATATATATATATATATATATATAGACTTGGGATCATGTGAGACCAATAGTTTTTCGTGAGACCC